CTGATAATAGTTTTACGCGCCGGCAAGAAAATGAAAATACATAAGCAATAATCTCTTCTTGATTTAATTATTTCCAAAACTTCCTTGATGACTCTAACAAAACGATCACCAATACCTGATGCACACAAAATAAAGCTGCCAGAATTTGTGTATCAGTCAAGCCAAGTATTTGCATATATCCCAGATATTCAATGATCACACGTAGGTTGGAAAGAGAAAAGTTGTAATCGTACAAGCTCTAAATGTTCCTTCACTTTATAATTTCCTTCAAACACTATGCAACAGCTCAAGATCAACCTCCTCTGAAACAAATAAGTTGCACAAACGTGATTCTCCTCCGTTCTAATACATATATTACTGTCGCGTAAATTAACGTAAAAAGATGGAAGAAAGAGAGAAGTTGACCAAAGCTGGGTTAATACGTGCAATTTTTTCCCAAAAATAAGGTGGTTCAAAGGCTTCACGAGCGCTACTTGGTTAAAGGTCTAGTGAGGAAGTATAAAAGTAGATGTGCGCAAGCAATCAACTGCATTTATTGAGTTGAAATATTGAGTCTTTTTCAGGAGCCTGAAAGAGCGTAAGAACTCAGTGCAACTTAGTATCTCGTTATTTACCAAAGATAATCCCAGACAACCCACTAACATCAGAATCTCTAAGCCATTACCTTTGCGAATTCTGGATAGGATGCGCAATTACAGTGTTCTTTAGAAAGCTGAGACTTGGGCATTGATAAATCCATCCAATCTCGTCTTCTTGGTATTAGAAAAAAATTTGTAGATGCAAAAAGAGTCCGAGCAGATACAGTGGTTTTTCTCAAATGAGCGATGATAACTACAGAAAAACAAAACTGGATTACTTTCCCTCTTTGATATGCAAGTCAAATATTGCAACTCATTGTAAAAGGAAATACTGCCAGCTAACACCGAATTTGTTATAAAAAATTCAGAAATATATATATATATATATACACCGTAAGTTCATTTCAAATTTGACTTTGAACAGAGATATGAAAGTTTCGAAGGTATAAAACTATTATTTTGCGAAATCAGGAAATACTTGAACCTGCACAAGTCGCTGCTAAGCTAGCTTGTTTCTGCTTTTCTCTCTGATAAAATTTTTCCTGTATTCCCTTTTTTCACAATATACGTCCATTAATAAAACTTTTTATCGCGCCCCGTTTTTATGGTCCTTTGCTCTTCCTTAATTCAGCAACATCTTGAACTTGAAAGATTTACTAAAAGCTGAAGAGCCTTTTCTAATCAACTCTCAAATTTAGAGTAGATTTTTGATGATGCAAGTGGTGGCATATCAAATCAGAGTGGGTGCAATGTTCTAGTAACTGGCTCAGGTTGAAAGAGGCAAATTTGAGGGAAAAGTCACCCCACAAAAGCCCAGAAACAACCTAGCCCGATAAAAATTGCGCAAGGACTGCTGATTAATACAAAATAAGTCCCTGATACGCCTTACATCCGACACAGCCAAAGATGGAGATCTACAGCAAGAAAAAGGTGTATTGTATCATAACACGTTCAAGTGTGAAAAGACAACAACATAGTATAATATCTCAAAAATGTACGGGAATATTTCCCATAAATAAAGCACTATTGCCATGTTTCCCATTTGCAACAATTCTTAGTCCCATAAAAAGAAGAAGAGCGAAGGGGGTCAGCCATCCATCATATATACCCAAACTTTTTAACCCAAACTCCATCAAAACCACGAGTATAAGACAACTGCTGTTCTCCTCGAAGACTATAGTAACCTAGATGGCAGTTCTTGGGATGGGATCATTTTAAGTCAAAAACAATTATCGCTTTTTTATAATCGATAATCCAAAGATAAAACCATTCCGATAACGATGTAGCAAAGACCATCACAATGAAATTTGTAAATGATACTTACCAGTAATCAACTGTTGCTGTTGACCCGCTACGGCCACAATATTCGCAGCCATTTGAGCATTGCTTGGCCTACGTTTTACAGTAGCAGCATTACCGGCGACGGAAGGGTGGGTCCCTGTTTGGGAAACCGCTGGTGCTCCACAAATAGAAGGTGCACCACCACTTTTCGACACCATCTCGACAACCGACGCGATTGAAGAATCTATATCCAAAAAGCGATGTATGTAGACAATAATTTCCAGTATAGAACCTACCTATTCGATCCCCGTTAGAGGCTTGCGCAGATGTTGAGGAAGGATCCACCGATAGCGAACCGCCTACTTGAGCGCCTAAGCCTCCAAGTGCATCAGCTTGTGCATTTGCTGTCAAATCATCCAACACTCCAACACCGAGATCTAACATTGGCTCTATGTCATCGAGATCACCAAGATCAGCCACTAAAAGAAAATCTTCAATTCTTGTAGGGAGGTAACTCAATGAACAAACGTTGGTCATCATGTGCCGTAAACAATTTATCCACTGGATGTTCGCTTTCAACAGATTGTTGCGCACTTGGTGGCTGTTGCGAGTATGATGTATTGCCAAACATGCTTCCCTGCGAATCAGCTCGTGACATGGGAGTTCCAGCATGACCCTAGAAGTTTTAATGTAAAAGCTGCTAAGAATCTATTTAACATGGTGAGGTACTATAGTCTTGGGTTGAATTCATCTTCATCAATTTTTACCCTTAGCTCTAATGAATCTCTCAGAAAGGGAAGAAAACTCGTTCTAGAACTCGATGTTCTTGAATATAACCATTTAAATATTTCCTGTTGTAATTCATCTCATCAATTTTTACCCTTAGCCTGATGAATCTCTCAGAGAAGGAAGAAAGCTCCTACTAGAACTCGACGTTCTTGAATATAATCATTTGATTCTGTATTTCCTGTTGTTACTGATGTTGATTTGTCGATAAACCCAAAATCGAAAAGGAAAGTTTTGGCAGCGCTCGTGCATCTATAAGTAGGACTCCTACAAGGTAGTCTGTACTTGGCTTTCTCATTGATTTCAGTTTTATCAGACATTTTTGAATTTTAAGGGATCACAATTCATAACAACGCTACCTAGACTGGTTATGCTGTTACAAAAACCACAGCAGTTCCCCATAGTGATTTGAGTTGATTTTTATTTACATTTTCATTTTTATTCAAATTTTTATTCATTTTTTTCTTTTCCAGTAAATTACTTATTGCCCCGGGCTTACTGTACGACGTAGGCAAGATTTTTGTGATCAGTATATCAATCAAAACATTAGTTCACCTGTCAAAAAAAATTTCTGATTTACACTATAAGATAAACCTACTGCAATCCATAGTAATGCCTTACCATATAGAATGAATATAATTTTTGTAATAATCATTTCCGATTGTCCCACCAAGTGGTATCCTGAAGTTTCCAAGCTTTACGTTCCAAAGATAACCGTCATTCATTCAAGCTTTTTTTAGTTCTCTAAACATTCGGGAAAAAAACACATCTTATTTCACATAATTACAGTGGATAAGCCAAGAGCAGTCTTATAGAAGAAACCTTCTTTCTAATGATGGTCAAAATTTCCACTTTCTCAAGAATTGTTTGAGTTTCGCAGGAAACGGAACTTTTCCCACAACCCGAGCAACTTTGCTTTCAAAGCAGACATGGTAAAACCACTAATCATTTAAAGGAGATGTATCCCGAAAACGCAAAGACAGAATCTGGAGAGAGAAAAGGGAAAAAGAAAAATAAGTTTTCTCGCCTCTTTTAACATTTTCCTTATGGGAAAGTAGAACGAACGTAAAAAGCGTTAAAAATTACTAAATAAATGATTATCATCTTCCAATAACGAAGCAAGTAAGTGAAGCCATCAAAACTGAATATTAGGTTCAATACTCATTGTTAAAAATTGCACATACCATCAAAACTCCCTGATGACTGCCGGGGTTGAACTGATGGGGCGTAGCCGGCGAAGTGCCATCACGGGAATACTCTCCAGAGCCTGAGGTACGTTGGGAAACTGTGGGATGCACAGAGCCTGGACCACATTGCATAGCATCTTGAAGAAAGCGTTATATGAGGAGAAAGAAACAATTTGCAAAAAAAAGTATGAAATTTACCCATTGGCGTTGGATACGGTACAGGGGGACCTCGCTGACCCGGCCAAGTTTGTCCTGGAGGACCTGCTGCTGTCTGCCCATGCTGTTGTTGATATATCATCCGCTGCTGCATCTATTTTTGTTTGAAATTATAGCAAGATGGAATGGTAAGCGATGACGTACCTGCTGATGCCATAACGCTTGTTGTTGCTGTTGCTGCAACTGTTGTTGTTGTTGTTGATTGGCTCCTTGTGGATATCCTGGATATTGAGGAGGTACAGCAGGGATTCCTGGTTGACTAGGGTAGGTAGCGCTAGGTGGATATCCAGAGTGACTTATCATTTGCATGCCAGCAGACTGAAAGTTTGAGGATCGCGTTCACAAAGAGAAATAGATTCTTCGACGTGCGATTTTCTTCCATACCGTCATAGCAGCAGGATGCAACATGCGATCGTTGTAGAACTGCTGCTGTTGCTGTGCCTGAGCTGCCGCAGCAGCATTCTGTTGCTGTTGCTGTGCTGCTGCGGCAGCGGCCAGCTCCGCTTCCTTCTGTTGTTGTTTCTTCGTTGGTTTCCTTTTCTTTTTTGGAGGAGGAGGTTGAACAGTTTCCTAAAAAGCAAAATTGAGCAAACGCTGAGAAACCAATAATTCTTAAAACCTCAAATAACCATCAGCAGAGTTTAAAAAAAGCGCAAAATGATAAACAGAGGGAAGACTTTAATAAGATGGTGTAAGACAGAGCTAACCTCAACAGGAGGGCCTCGAAACTGTCCAGGACCTAAAGGAGGAGCACCGGCCATAGCTACCTGCTTCATCTGTGCTGGATAAGCCTGCATACGCTGCTGCTGAACAGCTGGAGGTACCTGCTGTGGTTGTTGCTGCCCAGCAAACATGGCCGGATTTTGTGGAGGGACGTAATTCTGACCATAAGATGTT